CTGTGGCACTGGGTGTGGCATTGGTCCCAAAACACCATTTGAAAGTGATCCCGCAACTGAAAAAACAAACCTACATACAAGTTGGTATTTTTAATTTATTTAATGTGACTCTTTAGTACAGCAGTTCTAGGTTCAGAGTAAAACCGACAGGAAGACGCAGCGTGGGCCCTGCATGTCCTGCCCCCACATGTCCATCGCTTTCTATCATCCATGTTCCCCATCAGAGTAATACTTCTGCTACCACTGGTGAAGCTGTAACGACACACTATAATCACACACGTCCACAGCTTCCATTAGAGTTCAGTCTTAATGTCATACATTTGATGGTTTGTACAAATGTATACTGGTTTGTAACCATCATCTGGGCACTGCACAGAGTAGTTCCATTGCCGCCCTCAGGATCACCTGTGCTCTGCAACTTCAACTTAACAGTCCCTGTCCCTTGCAATCAACTCATCTTTTTTTGTTTCTATAGTTCTTCCTTTCCCAGAGTATTTTATCAGAGCGGCTGGAGTGATAGCACAGTGGGTAGAGCGTTTGCCTTGCACACGGCCAACCCGGGTTCAATTCCCAGCATCCCATATGGTCCCCCAGCACAGCCAGGAGTAATTCCTGAGTGCATGAGCCAGGAGTAACCCCTGTGCATCGCTGGGTGTGACCCAAAAAGCCAAAAAACAAAGAAAAAAGAATATTATATTAGAGTAATATGCCGTAAGCAGTTATTTTCAAATGGTCCTTTTTCTCTTAATGATGCGTTTCCTCCATGTTGTGTGTGTGTGTGTGTGTGCGCGCGCGCGTGCATGCACGTGTGGCTTAAAAATTGTTGATGTTGTTTTGAACAGGGGCTACAATCGGCCGCGGTGCTCAGAGGTCACAGAGCCACTCATGGCAGAGCTCGGCCCATGTGGCCTTTGTGTTCAGCCTGGTTGGTTCTCAGGCCCCTTTAGGGCTGGGTAGCAAACCCAGACCCTTACACACATTATATACACCCACCACTTGAGCTATTTTCCTGGCCCTTTCTTCTAATTTAGTTTTTAGTGCCAAATACTGTCCCATTGTTGGAATGTGTAAGTTCATCCACTTTTACACTGAAGGACATCTTTGGTGCCTCCACACGTGGGCTTCTATTTGTGCTGGCATTTTTAGTTCTGCTGGGCCAACAGTAAGGAGTTGCAATTGCTGCTTCATGCTGTGTGTTTAGTTTCTGGAAGACATCACCAAGCTGTTTTCCACAGAAGCTGCCCCATTTTACATTTCAATATCAATGACTGGGAGTTCCTTCTCTGCATCGTCACCAACATTTGGTGTTTTTCATGTTCAGGATTTGGGGGGGCAACTGTGTTTCTAGTGATATCTCATTATTGCTTTAATTTTTCATTTCTCTAATGACGTAGTGTGATGCATCCTGTTTATTTCCCATCTGTATATATTTCATGATGAAAATTACTTCTAAGGTCTTTGACTCAATATTTTGTTTTTGGAGTCACATACACAGTGTTCAAGAACTGCTCCTTGCTCTTTGCAGGGGCTTGTTCCCGGCAGTGCTTAGGAGACTATTCAGTGCCAAGGACTGATGCAACCATTGAGCTCTCTCCAGCTTGTTACTCAATTTTTTAAATGATTTTTGGTTTGTTTTTCTTTTCATGAATAGCTTTATAAGGGTCTATCTCACAGCGATTCAATTAAAAGGTTTAAAAAATGATTTGTTTTCTTATTGAATTTTAAGATTTCATAATCTAATTTTGGATAAATTCTGTATTAGTTAACTATTTTGCAAATATTTTCTCCCAGTCTTATCTTTTCATTTTCTTATCATTGAGAGCAAAAAAAAATTTAATAACGTCCAGCTTATCTTTTGGAGTTTTTATTTTGGGGGGAGGGAGCACTTAGTAACTCTGTGCTCAGTAATTCCTGGCTCTGTGCTCAGAAATTATTCTTGATGGTACACAGGGGACCATATGGGATTCCAAGAATCAAACCCAGGTCAGCTGAATGCAAGGCCAGTGCCCTATCTGCTGTACTATCTCTCTAGCTCAGCTTTTAATCTGATGATTCCAGCCTAAGGTGTCTTTTCTACAAAGCCATCACGAAATATGAGGTCAATTTCTTCCTGTTACCTTCTTCCTAGAAGTTCTATAGTGATCAATCCACTTTGAACTTTTCTGAAGGGTGTAAGATTTGTGCATAAATTCAGTTTTATGCATTTGGATTTTCAGATACTCCAGCACTATCTGTTATAAAGACTCTCGTCGTAAAAACTCTCTCCATTACTTTCACTTACCTGGTGAAGGGTATAAAGGTATATCACTGGCTATATTTACAGCTATATTTATGTGGGCCTCTTTCTTGGCTTTCTATTCTGTAGATTTATTTTAGCATTGCTAGTATAAATTACTTTTAGTTTTGACAAACTACTATGCCACCTGGTGGTCGTTAAAAATATTGCTGGCATATTGAGTGACCCTACTATTACTGTATCAGACTGCTGTAGTCCCAAATAATGTTTTTAAATTTATATAATCTCTTTTTGACCACACTTGGCTTTCTAAGTGGCTACTCCTGACCCCTATGCTCAGGAGTGTCCCAGATGATGCTTGGGGAACTGTATGGAGATTGTCCCTGCTACACTCTCTCTCTAGCACAATGTTCATTCTCTTAGCCCATGTTGTCACCCTAGACTCCTGTAGAGTTCATCCCTCCCAGACCTCGAAACGCTTGTTATTCCTCAGTGTTGTCTCTCTGTTCCTTCTGTTCGCTCTTGCAGAGACCTTACTGATCCCTCTGCTTGTCCCGTGGGTGGGGGTGGGAATAGGGGTGGATGCAGCATCATCCTCTCCATCCACCTGTGCCACTGCAGGGCCATCATCATCTTCAGGTTCTTTGGGTGATGCATCCAGGGTTGATGGCTGTGAGGCAGGCAGGTAGGCAGGCAAGGAGTTAGGGGAGCCCTCTGGCAGTGAGCTACTGGGGCATAATAAAATCAAGAGATGAGATTTACTCTGTCAATAGCCCTACAGCTGCCAAGACTCTGTGGACACAGGAACTAAGGCCTGATAAGACCTTCATCTGGCCCCAACACAGACTAGGAGAAGGCTAGACCCACCCCCACCCCCCCTCTGAGAGAAGCTCCAGCAGGAACACAGGCCAGGAAAGGAATATCAAAGACTATCAACTATTGCCAACTCTACCCTCTTGGCAACCACCCTAACAACAGACTTATGGGACCCTTGGGCAGCTCGGGAGAAACCCTATGAGCGCCAACATAGAACAAAAGACGTACGCGTATGTGCTGCCAAGCATACGTGTCGTACGCATGCATGCGTTGCCTGGGTACATGGTGCCCAAGCATATGACACCCACGTCCCCCTCTTGAGACATGCACTTTCATACTTTCATGGCTGGGATGTATATGGGGTTCTCTCTCCACTCCAGAGAAGCCCTCTTCTCTCTCCTCTCCTTAAGAGCAAGGCTCGAAGCAGACTCTATCACTCCTACGTTTCCCAGCTGTTTGCAGGACGGCAGAGGCGCATAGAGAGAAAGCTGTCATCTCTCTCCTCCCCGCTCATATAAATCACATGGGGACCCCCACCAGCATCAGCTCCCTCCCCTGCTAATACTAACCTTCTTTCCTTAAATGTGTTGAAAACTCTCAATGTCTCAAGACAGCAGAATCTACAAAGACCTGTCTCTAGAAGAGTGAGGGCGCCAGAGAGATAGTACAGTGGATAGGGCGCTGGCCTTGCATGCAGCCAACCAGGGTTCAATCCCCAGCATCCTATGGTCCCTCTGAGCACTATCAGGAATGATCCCTGAGCACAGACCCCTGAGTATCACTGAATGTGGCCCAGAAACAAAACAAAAAACAAAAAGAGTGAGAAGAAAAAGAAGTGGTTTGAGGGTAGGGGAAATCATGACAAGAAAACCTTATTTTGAAACATATCTGTAATATGGTTCTGTCTCTCAAATTCTACTTTTTCCCCCCCTAATGACTAAATCAGTATTCACTATACATGATTTTAAAGCTTTCTCAACAAAGTATAACTACTTTATAATTCTATCACCAAGAGTCAGCATCTGTTTATATCTAGTATATAGTCATGAATATTTATTTTCCTCCCACACGATTAAAACCCTATTGTGTTATTGTGTTTATCCAGAAACATTCTATATTAAATACAAAAAAACAAGCATATTATTGCTAAAATATATTTCCTGGGAATAAATAACACAAAATGTTAACTCTGATTAGGTCTGGGGAAGAACTCAAAATGATTCATAATTTTGCATTTTAAGAGCTTTTCAAACTTGAAAAGGTATTTTAGCGATGGTGATTTACAATTTTACAACATTGTCAATGGTAGCTTTTCATGCACAAAGTTTGCCTACACCACAATGCCTCTTTCTTCCACCACTCTCCTCAGCCCACTGCCCCAAAGCACCTTCCCTATCCCACTCCCACACCCGCTACGCAGGGGAGTATGCACGCACCCCACAAAGTTACATGTTCCAAGTCCAGTCTAAGAAGCTGAGAAGGAAATCCGGGTTGATTACAGGGCAATTGAAAAGATGACAAGGAATCAAGCGAAAAAGCAGAAAGGAGTCAGATTTCACTTAGCTACTGTGAATTAATTTTATTGAAGAGAAATAAAAAACATTTTCATTAGGGAAAAAAAAGGCACACTATCCTACACAATTATCTGCTCAGAAGGTGGGTGGAGGTGGGGCAATACCCACATTAAAAACGGTGGAAAACAGATGCAAGTTTAGAAAACAGCTCTCCCCAGCAGCAGGGGAGAGGCCTGCAGGCAAGCTAGGAGACAGGAGTGATCAGGAGATGTTTGTCACCGCAGGAAGTCATCATGATCGTGCCCGAGCTCCCCCTTAGCCACCTTTCCACTTCTTTGACCTCAGCCATTGTTGTGGGAGTCTCCCCTGAGTCAGCCATGACCAGGTGGCCAGATCGCCGCTAAGCTCGCTTGGCTTCCTGAGCTTTCGGCCGCTCAGGTCCCGGGCTGGCCAGACCCCAGGTCCTCGCTGCTTCTGAGCCACCTGCAGAGGGTCAAGATCAGCAACACGCCCACAGCCACACCGATGGGGACACCTAGGCCCACGGCAACAGCCACTTTCCGCTTCCACGGGGGCCGGGAAGGCCTGGAAAAGTTGTCCAGGTTCACTTCTAGACCCTCGTCTATTAACTTCTGATTCTCGGTAAGGGATCGATGAAAATTTAGGTCCACCAAGTGCCGGGGCAGAACCCTCAGCCCAAAGTAGAGCCTCTTGACCAGTTTCAAGTTTCTTAAGAGTTGCACGTCACAGCGGTAGGTGCCAGAGTCATACTCCCGCAGAGAGTAGAATCTCACAGAGTAGGAGCTGACGCGGAGGGGCCTGAAGACCTCGTCCTCGGTGGAGATGATGCCCCGAGCGAGCCTCCAGGTGAAGCGGTACACCTCCTGGCCGTCCTCCAGGATGTCAGCAGCACTCACACAGCTCAGCTGAAAGCGCCTCCCGGTGAGCAGGGTGAAATGCAGCATCCCACAGATCCAGCTGGTCAGGCACTGCAGGCGTTGTGTCTTGCACTTGCGTCTCACTCCGTCAGGGCCCACCTCGCAGACGGTCTCCTCCTTGTAGCCCAAGCCGCAGGTGACACTGCAGGTGGTGGTATTGATAATCACTCTCCCCACAGCCTCCTGCAGCTCCTCAGGGATGGCCATCATCTTCGGTGAAGTTGCAACCAAAGACGGACGGAAGGTCCAAGCCAGAACCCCAAGGAGGAAAGGCAAGGCCAGAGGCGTCATCGTGCTCAGCAGTCACTTCACCTCCTCAGCCAACACCCCAGGTGAGAAGCCAAGTGGGCAATGCAACGTTGGCCCATCAGAGCAGCTCCACAATGCCGCCCTGTCCTGCAGCTAAGATGAGGCCCCAGGTAGTCAAGTCACAAAGCTGCAGTTTCCTGTTTAAGGACCGTTTTACCATTTTCATTCTTTTCACTTCCTTTTTAATAAATTTAAATCCATCTCATGGGAAGACAAAAATGCAGTCTTCTACAGTGGATTCTCAAAGTCCCACAGAGGCTGGGCCCTCCTTCACCCTTTTTCTTTCCCTTCCAAATGGGGAGATCTCAGTGTATTAGTTTCAAAACAACCAGCTAAATTTGGCCAAATGGGGAATCAAATACTAAGTCTAAAAAGGAGAAATGAATTTAAGTTATGATGAGCTCTAAGTGTTCCTTAACCTTCGAGAAAATGATCAAGAGAGCTGGCCTGGGAGGCAAATGACTCTTCTTGCTGCAAACAGAAACAGCCACCCTGCTTCAGGAAGGACAGCTGAGCATCCCATGACACACCCAGGTGAGTACAGTTAAAATATGCATCACTGTCCTCAGGAAACGACTTGCAGCAAATGAAAACCCACAAAGACAAAAGCCAGGAGCCCTTCTAAAACTGAAGTGTTCATCAGTGGTCAGAGCTCCTCATGCGGCACAGCCCGTTCCAGGGACCCCAAGGGAGGCGTAAGCGTCTCCTGTGCCTCAGAGGCACCTGTGGTCAGGGTTGCTATGAAACAGCTGTGATGTCAAAGACAAATTCTTTGTCACAGTGCAACAAAGCTTTAGTGATTAAAAAAGGCTTTATAAAATACTGTTTAACAGACAATAAGCAATTCAACCAATTTTAAAGCTATTTATTCTGGGGGCAAGTCATTAGTGGGGATTTTAGGAGGACTAACACTAAGGAAACTCAGGAAGGCAGAAGAGCCTAAGGGACTTATTTTCCCTCTGGCCTCTCCCAAATATGCGGAGTGTGAGATTCTGTGGAGAGAAAATGCTCTGAGATGATCTTTTCAGTTTAAAGTTGTTGGGGGGGGGGGGGGAGCTAGAGCAATAGCACAGCAAGTAGGGCGTTTCCCTTGCACGCGGCCAACCTGGGTTCGATTCCCAGCATCTCATATGGTCCCCTGAGCACCGCCAGGGGTTATTCCTGAGTGCAGAGCCAGGAGTAACCCCTGTGCATCGCCAGGTGTGACCCAAAAGGCAAAATAAATAAATCAAGTTATTGGGGGTGGAGGGCGCCTCTCCTGACTGGTGCTCGGGGCACCATGAGCTCCTGCGTGCACTTTCTGAGCCAGCTCCCCTGGCCCTTACACCCAGCTTTTGGCTTTAATGGTTTCTTTGTAACACTGTCTGGATGAGACATACAGGCTACCTTGCCCACCATCCTTTCCAGTTCTACTCAGAAAGAAAGTATCAGGTTGACCCAGAAGGTGCTTTTCCCATGGTGCAAACAAAGTTAAGTGGCTGGTGAGTTTCAGAAGTCATCAGTATTTACAAACACACATTTTACACTTCCACTTTAATAAACATCCGATTTTATTTACAAAGCATTAAAGCTCAGCAAGAAGTACTCAAGGCTAAGTCTCATCTCGTACAAAACTACAGAACATTAAAAAACAAAACAGGGAGGGGAGGCAGATGTGATGAGAGGGGAATGAACAAGCATATATTGTACAAATGGAGAAATTCAAACTGAAATGAAGAGGCCTTAGAAGCTGAGAAAAATTTCCAAAGCATAAATAAGGATCAGGCGCTGCGGCCAGGGCCCAGCTACCAGGGCATGCCCTCTATTCTCGGGGCCAGCTCAGGAGACGGATGGGGCAGTGAATGTCCAAATGCACAGGGCACCCAACTGCTGTGCACATGGAGTAAGGCAGAAACCTCTGCAGTACACGTGCCAGGCGGTGTGGCGTTCAGAGGAACGGAATGGAAAGAGGACCTGCGAAACGAAACCCAGCAAACCAACCTCAGCCAGTGGGCTGATGGGAAGCTTTACTTCAGCTTCTTTTGAGTTCTACGGATGGGAGGGAAGGAGGGTCATCCTGATGTGTTCGTTGATTTCTACCCTAAAATCCCAAAGGCAATCAATCGGCTAGTTGAGCTGCCCGCCGGAGCACGGCCCACTGCCTCGTTCCACAATAAGCACAGTGTCTCGCTGGCCTGTGCAAACGGGCCCTGGCTGAGCACGTCCCGCCGGTGCAAGCCTACGCCGAGGCTTGGCGAGCCCCTTCCGGCCCTGGCGTCCTTCCTCAGGGCGTTTGGAGAATTTCAAACACCTAAGGTCCAGGTCCATCCCACCTGCTGCTACTTCTTAGGGAAGGAACGGGAAAAGCAAAAGGTAAAAATTAAAGTGTCTTCAAAGCTAGGCAACCTTTCACAGAAAGGAAGTGGCTGGAAACGTGGGGTCTGGAGAAAGGAGCACGGAGAGTAAAAGGGACAACGTGAAGACTCACGGGGCTCACAAGCAATGGCAAAATTTCTTGTCTTGATCTTTGATTTGAACTGTTGTTGCTGCTGCTGCTGCTTTGATTTTGGACAGTTTTACTTTAGTCCTTGCATAGATTTCCCACCCCAATTTAAAAAAATAATAACAAAGAAGCTTGCTGAGAACTGGCTTGGTTCCAGCTCTGGAAGCCAGCACGGGTCAAGCAATCGTGATGATTCTTTGCTGGAGACAGATCTACAGCTATCTTCAGAAGCCATGATTACGGGGAAAAAACCAACACCAGAGGGAAACATGCAAAGAAAGGAAAACAAGGACAAACCCTGCCCCTCCTCCCGCCCGTCCTCTTGAGCAAAATGGGCAAGTTAGGAAGAGGAAGGCTGTCTTAGCTTTCTGAAAATGTGAAATCTTCCAAGCGCTTTCTTTTCTGCCCACCTTTCATACACAATATAGATACAGAGGAGGAATCTGGTGAGAGGGGAAGTTTAAAACTGGAAGAATACCAATAGAAGTTTCCTAGGCTGCGGGAAGCAAAGTTTCAGATAAGAACCGGTCACTCGAGGATATACACTGAGGACGGAAGCAAACAGGAGATAGGAAATGACAGGCCAAAATGATGCTGGGCATAATCAAGTCTGATGAGCAAAAACAGGGATCTTTCTCCAGCAATGTAACTAAGCATCAGTGTCTAAGTGAGTCAAACTCCCATTCGATGACGTCTTCACAAATCCTCATTCCTGAGAGCCTATTTGGACTATGCTTGAAGGGGAAGGGACGTGTATCTTCTTCCATAATTCACTTCTTCATTCAAACAGAAAATTCACTCCTTCCACCTCCTGCACAGAGGCCTTTGTTTTAAATCAGAGTCAGACGCAAATGACTGACCAGTGTCCAAAGGCCACACGATGGCAAAGCAGAGAAGAGCAAGGAAACATCAAGTGTCTTCATAACAGTTCTGAGATTGCTCCTCCTGCTGAAGAGTGATCAAGAAGAAGAAAAAAAAACTTTTAGCACCAATTTCATATTACAAGAACAGAAGTACTAATGGATGCTGGATGGCACATTCCAAGCATACATGGGCTATGAAATTCCCCCCTGAAAGTAATAATCGAATTCAATCCCAATTACTTTACAAATCATCCAGACCCCCAACCTCTAACCTAATACTTCTCTTAGTACAGCCCTGCGGGTGCAGAATAATGCATATTGATCTGTTTCTCACATTTTCTAGACCGCTAACCCTTCCCCAATGTATAATAAATACTACTTTATAATCCAAGCAGTCTGTTAAATGAGGGGGGGAGGGGGAATTCTAGGCTATAGTATCTTTCAGTCTTTCATGTATCAGCCTGCTCACTAAATGATTAAAAATGAGCACCAAGTCCTTTCCAGCCCTGCTGCCTGAGAAAGCCCCAAATGATGAAATGGGAATGACAACTACTGACCGCATTCCTACATGCCTAAGTGATCGGTAAACAAACTCCTAAACAGTAAAATCAAAGACACACTTCCCTGATGACTCCATAGCAGCTGTTCAGCCTCTGAGGGGCATCCTTAAAAGGGCTGCTGGGAATTATTAACTACGAAGTGTAAAAAGAGAACAAGGTGAAGAAAAACCTCCCAGTTGTCAATTAGAATGGGGAAACATGCCACTGGTAGGTAAAATGGTTAAAAAAAAAAACATCATCCATCACTCAAGTTAGAAAAGTACCTGTTAATAAGTTTTGCTTTTAACTTCTTTTAATTTGTATAGACGAAAACTGGCAATAAAACGTTTTTTAATGCCCAGAGATAGGAAAGGGTGTTAAAATTCTTTGCTTTACATGCAGCTGACCCCAGTTAGGTCCCTCAGCACTGCATATGGTCCATCAGCACAACCAGAAGTGATTCCTGAACCAGAGCCAGGAATAAGCCCCATGCAAGGCCAGATGGCCCAACTCACTCCCACCCCACAAATACATGTAACATATATGCAACTTGTGTGGATTATATGTATGCCCACCGACAAAAATTGGATAGCCATAAGCCAAAAAATGAGGGCTGGAGAGAAAGGGAGGTAAGGCACTGGTCTTGCAACCAGATGGCTCTGGTTTGGCGTCTAGCACCACATATGCTGACACTTTAGACTAGAATCCATAAAATGCACTGAGGAAAACATAGCAAGGACATTCCAGGTTATGGAGCTCAGAGAGGTTTTCAATAATGTGAAGAGTTTGACGAAGATAACAAAATAAGTGAACTAATGGGACTATACACATCATATTTTAAAGTTTTTCCACAGCAAAAAGGATTGGCTAAAATAAAAACCTGTCTTTCTACATGGGAGAAAATATTTCCACACAATACATCAGATAAAAGGGTAATATCCAAGATACAGAAGGCACTAACAAAGCTCAACAGGTTCTCATCATCACTTATTAGGGAAACTGAAGTCGAAATGACAATGAGATATCGTCACACAAGGGAAAACAGCATATACAAACACACTGGATGGGCCAGAGACACAGTATAGGGGGTAAAGCATCTGCCTTGCACTGGCCAACCCCAGTTTGTTCCCTGGCATCACTTATAGCCCCCAAGCACCACCAGGAGTAACCCTCAACCAAAGCTAGGAATAGCCCTTGAGTACCACTAAGTGTGGCCATCATGACCCCTCCAACCCACACAAACCCCCCCAAGACAAAACTGGAGACAGTTTTGGAGGGAATATTCTGAAAAGGAACCCTCATTCACTGTCGGTGGGAAAACAGTATTTCTCAAAAAAAAAAAAAATAAGAATAGGTCTCAAGAGTCTGAGCATGTCCGCTGGAGCCCTGTCTATCAGAAGTACTCAGAAGCTACCAATCATTTCATTCTCCAAGTCAGGGCCCTGCAAAAAGGGGAGCCTGCCAGCCACCCAGCTTGGCTCCCCCCAAGCCCTGATCCCAAGAATCTGAGCAGTGCGCCCACTGGAACCCAGTGTTAGGAAGCAGTACTCAGGAGCCACCCACCATTTTGTCTCCAAGGTTAGGACCCCTGCAAAGCCATGGCTGCAAATGCCATCGCCGTTACTTAATTTCTTCATATCTCACAGTGAGCACACACTGATATCCTAACTCCAGTCTTCAAGCCACATGACACACCAGAAGAGCCACAAAGGTAGCCCTGAAGACTCAGCCAGTTACAAAACCTCTCTGATAAGGAGTTCAGAGAGGAAATGTTGAGGATGTGTAAGGAACAATGGAATGGAGAGACAATAAAACACAAGTGGAGATGAGGGCAAAATGAGAAAACTTACAAGCAGAAATGACAAAACTAAAGAGTGTGGCGGGTAAAATAAAAACTCAGAAACAGCAAGCTCAAAGATGAGTTACAGAAAACCTCCCGACTGGAACAGAAGATGGGGGAAAAACTCAAAATAAATGAACAAAATGTCACAAAGAAGTTTGGTAACTTCTACAGGAGGATGGAAGAAAAATTCCATGATAACAGTGTCACTTAATGTCTCTGGACTAAATACACTACTAAGGAGACAGAGTTGGGGTGGAACTCTGACAGTACAGCTGGGAGGGCGTCTGCCTTCCACACGGCCAACCTACGTTTGATCCCAGCAGCCCATATGGTTCCCCAAGCAGCACAAGGAGTCATGCCTAAGTGCTGGGTCAGGAGTAAACCCTGAGCATCACATTAAAAATTAATTAATTTAAAGGGGGGGGGAACTAGAGCAATAGCAGAGTCGGTAGGGCACTTGCCTTGCACACAGCCAACCCGGGTTCGATTCCCAGTATCCCATTTGGTCCCCTGAACACCGCCAGGAGTAATCCCTGAGTGCAGAGTCAGGAGCAACCCCTGTGCATCACCAGGTGTGACCCAAAAAGCAAAACAACACCAAAAAAGAAAAGAGACACAGAGTTGCAGGATAGATTAGAAAACTGAATCCAACTTTCTGCTGCCTACAATAAACACAGTTGGAGTAAGTCAAAAAGACTCAAAGTCAATGGTTCAAAGATGGTGTTTCAAGCAAACAGTCCCCATAAAAAGGCCAGGGTGTCCATACTTGTATTAACAACCATGACTTCAGGCTTAAAAAAAGTTAAAAGAGGAACATTTTTTTAATAACCAAGGAATCTATATGTAGGTCAGGAAGAACTCATACACCCATTGAGGGTCCAGCAAGATACTTAAAACGACTGCTCCAGACATAAAGGAAAACACTGATAGCAGCACAATAGTAGTTTGAGACCTCAACATAGCTCTGTCACCATAGCTCTGTTGATAGATCAACAAGACTAAAATTCAGCCACAAAAAAGAAAAAAAAAGCCTTGGAGGAAGAAATAAAAGAGGTTTAATATATATATATATATATATATATATATATGTATATGTAGGACTTTTCAAAGGTCAAATACACATTTTCTCCAATGCACACAGGACATTCTCCAAATAAACCACATCCTGGGTCACAAAACATACCTCCACAAAGATGACATGAATCACACCATTTCTTACACCAACTATCAAAAAATAGAAATTAATCACAAACAGCAACAGAAAAAATTCAAACTTCAAGAAAATTAAATACCCTACTACTGAACAACCAATGGACCAGAGAGGAAATCAAAAGATTCCTGGAAACAAACAAGAATAAAAACACAGAATTTGTGCAACCCAGCAAAAGTGGTACTAAGAGGAAAGCTTATAGCACTCATCAGGAAGGAAGAAAGGAGCCATATAAATAATTTGACTTCACAGCTTAAGAAACTGGAAAATGACCCACAAAAGGAACCTAAAGCAGGAAAAAGAAAATAATAAAGTTAAGAGCATAAATTAATTGGAATTCTAAAAAAACCAAAATATTAATGAAATTAAGATCTGGTTCTGTGGGAAAAATAAACAAGATCAATAAACCACTAGTGGGGCTGGAGCAATAGTACAGCTGGTAGGGCATTTGCCTTGCACACAGCTGACCCAGGTTCGATCCCCGACATACCATATGGTCCCCCCGAGTGCTGCCAGGAGTAATTCCTGAGTGCAGACCCAGGAGGAACCCCTGAGCATTAATGCATGCGACCCAAAAAGCAAAAAATGAATAAATGAAATAAACCACTAGCAAGACTCACAAAGAAAAAGAATGTTAATAAGCCTAAGCTGAAATGAAGGGGTGGAGGGTGCGGAATCCCAACAGATACCACGGAAATTCAAAGGATCATCAGCAATTACTCTGAAAATCTGAATTCCATGAGATAAGAGAAACTAGAAGAAACAGATGAATTCCTAGAAACTCCTATAACCATCCAAGGCTTAACCAAGAAGATATAGAACACCTGAATAGGCCAACGGCTATCAAAGGAATTGAAAAGGTAATCAGAAATCTCCCCAAAAACAAAAGTCCAGGCCCAGATGGATTCACTAGCGAGATCTTTCAAACCTTTACAGAAGACCTACTGCCAATCATTTTCAGGCTTTCAGGAACTTTAAGAAACACTCCCAGTTTCCATGAAGCAAACATTACCCTGACACCAAAAGCAGAGACACCACAAACAAAGAGAATTACAAACCATATCCCTGATGACATAGATGAAAAGATCCTCAACAAAATACTAGCAAATCCCATTCACAACCGTGCCTCAGAAATCAAGTACCTAGGAATCAGCTTAACCAAAGAGGTGAAAGACCTATACAAAAACAACACTTCTTAAAGAAATTTAAGATACAAGGAAATGAAAACACATCCCCCCACTCATGGAGTGGGAGGATTAGTATCATCAAATGACATTACCCCTCAAAGCACTGTACAGATTCAATGCAGTTCCTATAAAGATACCCATGACATTTTTCAAAGAAATAGATCAAACACTCCTGAAATTCATATGGAACAATAAAGCTCTCTGAAGAGTCAAAGCAATCCTTGGGAAAAAGATGAGAGGCATCACTTTCCAACTTCAAACGATACTACAAAGCAATAATTTAAAAAAGCACAGTACTGGAATAAAGACAGACCCTAAAATCAATGGAATAGAATAAAAACCCAGAGATATAACCCCATTTGGTCAATTAATCTTTACTAAAGGAGCAAAAAATGTAAAATGGATCAAGGAAAGCCTCTTCAATAACTGGTGCTGGGAAAACTGGTTAGTCACATTCAAAAAAAATGAACTCAGACCTCTTCCTATTGCCATGCAAAAAAATCAAATCAAATCAAAATGGATTAAAAAAAAACTCAACATTAGATGTGAATCCATAAGGTACAAAGGAAAACATCGGCAGGACTCTTTATGACATTCAAGCTACAGGCATCTTTAAGGATGAACTGCCAATGATCAAGCAAGTGAGAACAAAAATTATATATATATACATATATGTATACATATATATATTAAAAAACCCACAATGGGACTAGATTAAGAAGCATCTGCGCCTCAAGGGAAATGATGTCTAGAATACAAAGACAGACCACAGGCTGGGAGAAATTATTTGTCCACCACTCATCTGATAAAGGGCTAATATCCATAGAGCAATGGTAGAACTTTATAAGAGGGAAAAAAACAACCAATACATTAAAAAAAAATGGGGAAAAGAGATGAACAGAAACATCCTCAAAGAAAAAACAAATGGCCAAAAGGCCTATGAAAACACGTTCTATTATCACTCAATGTCACTGTCACTGTCCTCCCATTGTTCATCTATTTTGTCAAGTGGGCCCAGTAATGTCTCCATTGCGAGACTTGTTGTTACTGTGTTTGGCATATCGAATACGCCACGGGGAGCTTGCCAGGCTTTGCCGTGCAGGCGAGATACTCTCGGTAGCTTGCCGGGCTCTCCAAGAGGGGCGGAGAAATAGGAACTCGGGTCTGCCATGTTGGCTGCGTGCAAGGCAAACGCCCTACCCCCTGTGCTATCGCTCCATCCATTAGGAAATGCAAATCCAAACAAAGAGATATCACCTCACACCAAGGAGACTGGCACTCACCAAAAATAACCAAGGACTCCCACTCAGATGCTCCAAGTCATCTTGAGGCAGGCCACTGATGGGCTTATCTAATCACTCAGCTCCCCACTGCCACCACTCTGCCCCGACCCCGCAGCCTTGGCAAGGGCAAGGCACAGTGCAGGGGATGGACAAAGTGGATACATTCTTCTTCCGTTTGGGTCCAAGTCATAGTGGACCTGCTGAGCTTATTAGCAATCCTGCTCCTCAGAATCCCTGGGAGTTTTACCTGCCGTTTCAGTGTGGAGGCTCCACTCAAGAAAAGGTCAAAGGACCAAGACCAAAGAAGAAAAGAGAAGAGAGGGAAGAATGCGTTGTCACAGAGTGACCGTGTGGGCTTCATGAGAGGCTGGAGGGGATGTGCAGGAGCCCAGGCAGATGCTGCATCTGTGTGGTGAGGAAACTAGTGCCCTGGCCCTGGGACCCAGGCTCCTCCCGCCCAGGTAAGGGTGAAGCCATGAAAACACTGCCTCTGAAGCTGAAAACTCAAGTGTCTAACAGAAATAACAGATGGGGGGAAAGAAAAAAAATCCAGGGTGAAGGACCCCACTAATCCAAGACACAGATTCTCTGAGACCGGCACCCTGTCAGCAAAGGGAATGGAAGAAACCAGACATAGCTCTGAGCTTCTAACAGACCTCTGACAAGAGCATCTATCCACTCTTGCTATGAGCTCGAAATCCCACTGCAAACTGTCGGGTATGTTGAGAATGTTAATGAATAAGGGCAGAGTAAACTTTCCCACATTTTGGTTCTGACTCTCACTTAGACATTTCTGAAGCATAACTGAGAAACCCCACCAAAAGTCTACTCTGAGCTGTAAAACCCAGCAGCACTGCCAACTACCTTTGACAAAAACCCAATTTGAGAAACAGCAGACAGCTGCTGTGGGTGGGCACGCCAAGACAATGAAAAGCTGAAATCACTGTATTACAGAAGAAGGTGTGCTTGAAAAACCAATTGTAGGGGCACAGTCATAGTGGGTAAGGCACATGTCTCGCATGCAGCTGACTGACCCTGGATTGAAACCTGGCCCCACATATAAGCACTGCCGGGTGTGGCCCCAAATAGGAAAAAAAGCAAGCCACTGTGAATGTTTGAGGTTTTTTTTTTTTTAAAAAAAAAACTATACAGTTATTCTTTAAAAACAATTAATTATATACAAGTTTTGAAGAAGCTAGAAAACTCAATGAATTGAATGTTTAGCTGAATTTTAAATTATCCTGAAACAGGGTTGGAGCGATAGGACAGCAGGTAGGGTAAAGCTTGCCTTACATATGGCTAACCCGGGTTCCGTCCCTGGCATCCCACATAGTGCCTCGAGCACTGCCAGTAGAAATTCCTGAGTGCAGAGCCAGGAGTAACCACGAGCATTGCTGGAGGTGACCCCAAAACAAAAACAACAACAACAACAAAATCATCCTGAAATAGTCCATCTCCTTGGGCGAGGGGAGTCTACTTCAGCTTTAAGTCATTTCAGAGCAGGGAGATGACTCAAAGGGCTGGAGCGCATGCTTTGCTTCTGGGCATCCTGGTTTGAGTCCTGGAACCCTGGTTTGAGTCCTGGAAGCATGGCAAGTGTGACTCACACAGACACACACACACACACACACACACACACACAAGCCTTGAAGTTCTTCAGAAAAATGGCATGAGTTTGTCCAAGAAGTGGGTTACAAAGGGATCACTTCTATTTACATATATACAGGCCATAGCTCATCTGCCATCTTTCTTCGCAATGCCCAAGAAAGACGCTTCTAGGCGTCTGTGAAAACACGGGCATGGTCTGAGGCGGACAGAACGTGGAGACGACTGAGATTCTAGTCTAATGTGGCTGGTCTGAGACGGAATACTCAAATCGAGGAGTAGCCGAGTCTGTTTCTGCTTGTGTATAGCAGAGAATTCATGGTGACAATGCCTAAAGTGAACTAACTACAACTTGAACAAGGAACTGTTTCTCATGCTAGTTCCCATCATCGCATCTGGATTAACACATCTACATTAGAATTTTAAGAGGAAAGAGACACATTTAATCAGCACTGCTTCTGAGTCTACTTGCCCAGCCACAAAACCTTAAATGTATTACGTAAACTAAAATCGTACTTACACATGTCAGACAAAAGATTTTCCCAAATTCAACATTTCCATAAATAAACTCTAATTCGATTAATGTTATCCAAGCAATATTATCATTTAGCTAATAGTCACAGCACTTATCATATATATTAAAAAAAGTCTATATTCCCAATAATATTCCCTCATTTATATAAAAGTCAGAAAACTCAATAGATATCGAGGTCTAGGCATGAAGAAGTCACATCAAGACTCAGGACTGGAGTTTAGTACAATGGGTAAGGTGCTTGCTTTCCATGTTACTAACTAGAATTTGATATAGTCCCTTTGTCTCCTGAGTACTGCCAGGAGTTATCCATGAGCACAGAGCAGGAGTAAGTCCTAAGCACAACCAAGTATGGTCCTAAAGCCCCCCAAAAAAGAATTAAATCAGAGATTATTATTCTCCCGGGGATCTTAGATATCTACAGGAATCGGATGAGTGTTACGGGCATATTCCTTACAAAATTATTCATGGAGTATTTGCCTATAACATCAGGAGAATGTACATCCCTAGAAACCTATTCACAGATCCAAGGTTAAGAGTCACTGAATCAAGCCAAATCTGGCTACTGCAGCCTTTGGCGGCAGCTTAAAACGAGAGTGCCTGCCAGTGGGGAAAGGGGGAGGGAAGGAAGGAAGGCTGCAGTTCAATGGAGTCGGGGGCTGCACAAAGCAAGGCCACGAAGCAAGCCAGACAGCGCTTCCAATGTGTCCTTACCTGTCAAGGGCTGGCTGAGTTCCGCCTGCACTTTACCCTTCGCTGATCCTTCCAGAGGTAAACCTCTGTCCCCTTTGTAGAGTTTCGGTTTAAATGGAGAATCTTTCTCTTTACCTTTTGATCCTTTAGGCCGGCCTGCTTGCTTCTTCTTGGATTTGCCATCCCCCTTCACACCCAGTAGTGGATGGACTTCTGTAAAAGGAGAGGCACAGAAAGGACTCCACACACCACCCGAGCACACGCATGGCACCTTCCCTGAGCAGAGGCGTGCCCTCACACCCCAGGACAGAGGTTTCTTTGCCCTTTCGTTGTAAAACTATCAGGAGGGGGCTGGAGCGCGAACGCAAAGGGCTGGGCACAAGCCTTGTTGGCTGAAAGGCCACGTTCAGTCCCCAGCACATCACGCTGCCAGGAGCAACCCCCAGCAGGGCCAGAGTGTGCCCCTTGCACCACCTGGTGTGGGCAAAAGCTAAGCCCAGAAACAGAAAACTATGAAAAAATGGTCACTAAGTGAAAAACAGCTGCTTGGCCCAAGGACACATGTGGCCTACAGGGTTCACACCAGGCCAGAAGCTCCGGATTGAAAAGGGAGTGCAAAGAATCACTGGTATGGATAATCACAGCAAGACAGGAGTCAGACATGTATGCCAGAATGTAACCAAAAAGGATAGTCAATTTTCTCTTTTGGGGGGCTGGGAAGGGGGCGCACGTGGGCGTAGAGAGTTGGGTCACACCTGGCAGTGCTCAGAGGTGTGGTGCTGCAGACTGAACCAGGGTTCGCTGCATGCAAGGCAGGTGATTCAACGCCTATATTATCTCTCTGGCCCCCTCAATTTTCTTTTCTGTTTGACAGTAAAGAAACTTTCAGAGTTGATATAAAAATTAGCAAAAGCAGGCTCAAGAGATAGTACCGGGGAATTAAGGCACTTGTCTTGCAAGCAGTTCAAATCCCCAGCATGGTGCCTGAGCGCCACCAGGTGTGATCACTGAGCACAGAGCCAAGAATAAACCCTGAGCACCAGTAGGAGCAATGTCTAAATAACTGAATTTTACTTGGTTAAAAATTGTAAGCTGTTCATCAGTGCATACACACACACACACACACACACACACACACGATAACAAGACTTCCAGATGTGTTCTCTCTCTCTCTCTCTCTCTCTCTCTCACACACACACACACACACACACACACACACACACACACACACACGACTTCCAGAGTCTTATTACTTTATTGTAAAGGAAAAAAAAAAAAGATTGTTCAAGTGTGAAAAGCACATTAACACTCAATAACATCACACTATGGGGAAAGAGAAAAGAATGGCAGAAACAAACTCTGAGGCAGAAGTCAGAAAATATGAACGTGTTCATTTTAGGGACAGCAGTAAAAGGCAGATAAATAGCAATACTCCTATATTTAAAAAAAAAAGAAGAAGAAGTAAAAGGCAGAACTTCCCCACTTTAAAAAGGTGGGGGCTGGAGAGAAAGCACACAGCTGACCGGGTTCTATCCCCAGCACCCTATATGATCGCTGACCTGTGTAGAAGTGATCCCTGAGTGAAAAGCCAGGAGTGAGCTCTGAGCACCATTGGGTGTGGCCCAAAAACTTAAAAAAAAAGGGAAAGAGAAATGAAAGCAGATGGCACCCAAACAGAGTCAAGGGAAAACTTCAGCCTCCCTAATCACCCAAACAGGAAACTATCAGGTAGACAGTGGTAGCTGGAGAATGAAAGCACGTTCGCAGACAACAGCTCTTACCATCATTTGGTACTCCTTGAAGTTCGATATTGGTTGTTTTGGGTTTCTTCTTGGGTGGCTGGGAGCCATCTGCTGAAGACTGCCTCTTCTTCTCTGAACTGGCCCCTTCATCCATCAAGGAGGTTTGGACCGCATCTGGCGGAGGGCCATAAGGATTTTCTTCTGGGTCTTCTACCTCAGGGGCAATGGGTAAATATAATAGAGCCTTTGAATCTTCCAGCTCTTCATCACTATTTGGAACAGGGTCAGACAAGGGATTGGAAAAAAGAGGAGACAGTTGCTTAAACCATGAACCCTTCCTCTTGGGCAAAATCACCTATAGTAGCCATAAGCAACAGGCAGGGATCTAGAACTTTAAGAGAAACAAGAGTAAAAGGAAGTCTGAGATGAATAGTAAAATCCATAGTAAAAAACAGTGGTATCAATGAATGATGCTCATTTCTGACGGATTTTGAGAAGGGAAGGATTCTTGTACACCACACCAACAGAGCTCTCTCTGACTGAATAAGCAGAGGCTGAGGGGGGGCATCCCTAGGGCATCTCTGGCAGTCCTCACCTGCTACAGAAGGCAGCGATTGGGTCCACACTGGTAACGTCCACTTCTTCATCCTCAGCAGCATCTGCCCCTGCAGAACAGACAGTAAGGTAAGGACAGAAGTAGAAGACTATTTTTGGGTACAGATTGACAATTTTCATAATGGAATGCAGTAGGAACAAAGATAAAAAAAAACTAAACACTAAAAACTAAACATTTTAATCATCAGACAAGCAAGTACTGAATTTCCACAATATACTGAACTGGTCCCTCTACAAAAGGTTCACAGTCTAACTGGCAAGACAGACTTAAGGGATCATTTCAACCCACTTAACAGTTAGCAAGGCTTACACACACTATGCTAAGGAGATGGATGGACTAACAAATTTGGGTGCAGTGTGGGAAGGTGTGACAGTCCAACAAGGCCAATGGATACAGAACCTCTGCTTCCCTAGTGGTCTTGAAGAATACATTAGGCATTAAATCACCTGGTATCAAGGAAGCAAGGACCAGCACTTTCAGGCTGGAAAGAATCTCAATCCCAATTAATTCCCCAATTCCAAGCACCATCAAGTGACCCAGCAGTCAATGATATTCACTGATGGTGCCAAATGGGCAAACTAAACATCATACACAACAAGTCCTATTTGATGTAAAGCCCTGTGTAAGACACCAGAGGCAGAAAGTCACAATCATTGCTTAAGGAGCTTCCTATTCAGAAGAGAAACCTAACAGTGAAGGGCTGGGTGTGGTTCAAGAGGTACAGCACATGACTTGCATACACAAGGCCCCAAGAATCTACTCTCAGATGTGGCTTGTCCAGGTGGCGCCCAGCAGCATCAGAAGAAGCCCCACAACAATTCAAGGAAAAAAATCAGGGCCAGAATGATGGAACAGAGTGGGTAGGGTGCTGGCCTTGCACTAGACCAAGCCAGGTTCTATCCCCAGCACCCCATAGGGTTCCCCCAAGCCCACTAGGAATAGCCCCTAAACAAAGAGTCAGAAGAATCTCAGGGTGTGCCCCAAAAACCAAAGAAAAAAATTTGGAAAAAATCCATGTGTATGATGATAACCATAACGTAAAATAACACGCTCATTATGGCCTGGCTCTACACTAAATGCTTGCCAGAAGTGATCTCCGTTACTCCCCAAGAGCAGATACTATTACCATCCTACAGACAAGTGAGAAAGTTGAAGTTTAAGAAAGAAATATTTTGGGGGGAGAGAGGACACTGGTGGAGAGTATGGTGCTGGATCGTTTTATGCATGAAACCCTATTATTAATAATACTGTAAATTTAAAAAGAAAAATAAAAAATGAGAACAAGCTTTTTGCCTGAGGCAGTTTGTCTCAATGTCTGTGTGTGAGTGTGTGTGTGTGTGTGTGTGTGTGTGTGCGCGCGCGCGGGTGAGGTCCTGAGGGAAGGTGGTCGACAGGACATGGGTGTCTCACTACATGCTGTGAGATACCTCATTTAATCATGAAATGAAATAAGAGAGGAGCACACTGAGAGCTACCTGAATTCTTGTGATACCCAAAGTAAGCCTTTAAGTCACTGAAGACTCTCAAAGCTCAAAATTGTGAAGCTTCATTTAAAAAAGTCACAAGGGTCAGAGTGATAATATTTACAAAAAAAAAAAAGGCAGGGGCAGGGTACTTTCCTTGCAGCTGCCAACCTGGTTCAACCCCTGGTACCCCATATGATCCCAGCAATCACCAAGAGTGATCTCTGAGAACAGAGCCAGGAGTCAACCCTGAGCACCACCAGGTGTGGCCCCAAGGAAAAAAAATGTGACACAAGAATAAATAAATTTAAGAGAAATTAATTTAATTAAATTAATTTGCAACTGTGAAATATTACCTGTCTGCTCAGGCTCACTCTTATCTTCATCTTCAATATCAAATTCTGATTCCCTTTCTTCATATTCTACATTTTCATCCAACTCTTTGAAATCTGGAGCAAATGCACTCCAATTTTCCTATACCACAAATAAAACAGACATTTAACCATATGGAAACAACAGTCTATAATCCAGACATTATATAAATGAAAGATTTAAGCCTGAAATTTAGAATTCTGAGAAAAGGTGGCAGGTAATAAAAATGAAATATTCATAGGTTTCATTTGCTTAACACAGTTGCTATATTAAACTTCAAGTTACTAACTATATTTCTTCCACAAATAACTGTCTTGTTAGGCCCACAGAGATATCTTAATGGGCTGGGACACAGAAGGCCTGGGTAGATCCCTAGCACCACATGGTCCCGGAGCACTGCAAGGAACAACTTAGAACACCAAGCCATGAGTACCCTCTGGACATCAGCAGGTATGGCTCAAAAATCAAAATATAAAAATGTCTTCTTTAATCTTTGAAGATGCAACGCTGAAGTAAACCACTAACTTTTTCTTATTATACCACTATACATTTGCTCGAGCGGGCCCAGTAACGTCTCCATTGGAGACTTTGTTGTTACTGTGTCTAGCATATCGAATACTCTCGGTAGCTTGCCGGGCTCTCCGAGAGGGGCGGAGGAATCGAACTCGGGTCGGCCATGTTGGCTGCGTGCAAGGCAAACGCCCTACCGCTGTGCTATCGCTCCAGCCCTTATGCTATCGCTCCAGCCCCACTATACATGTAATTAAAGGTGTTAAAGATAAAAACAAGACACAGAAGAAAAACTAAGAGCCAGAGAATGCAGGGGGTAGGGTGCTCGCCTTGAATACAGACAACCCAGGATCAATCCCCAGAGTACTGCATATAGTCGAGTGTGGCTCTAAACAACAAAACAAAAAAAAACCAGAAACTCAGATGAAAGTAAGAAACATAAACGTATCTCTCAGATCTAAGGAATAAAAAAATATTGCAGAAAGACACTTGACTTTCTCCCTCCAAATGAAGATAGGAGTGGGACAGAGCCAGAGCTCCAAGACCTGTAGCCCTTTTGAGCTCATGGACCCCTGAGCATCACCAGGAGCGACCCCCAAGCAACCGGTGGGGTGGGGCTCCCAAATACATACACCCTACCGACCCCCCCAAAAAAGTGGAGACAAAACAGAGCTAGTAAATCAGCTTTAGAACAAACCCTTTCCATCAAAATAAGGCAAAGCCTCTTAAACCTCCACAAGTATTATAAAACAATGTTGTACAACTGGAAAAATGTGAAAAATAAAAGAATCACTAAACTGTCTAGAGAAAAAAAAAAAAGTTCAGCAAAACTGTATGCAATGAAACAACTTAAGTAGGCAATGTGGATCACATACAAATAAATAAGGCAACGTTAGCTTACTACTTCTGAGATTCTTTAATAAAAGTCTATTTAGTTTCAAAGCAATTAAACCAGAAGCATACTTACTACTTGATTTTGTGCCCAGATAGATACTACTCCACTAGAAATGGATGCTATGATGGGTCGAACAGGATGCCACTAAATTTTAATGAAGAAAAGAAAAACAGTCCTAAAAATGGATCCAAGATTTTCTTTACAAGCAACAACGAAAACCTCTCCTCCTACTCACAGCTACATCCAAGAGCAGCTCTCCTCTGGTCCCGTGCAGAATCTTCACCAGGTTGCCGATGCTCTTCTCCCAGATATACAAGGCATGCTGCCGGGCGGAGCCTGCCACTATGTATTCTCCGTCCCCCGAAAAACAACACTTCTTCCATGGCGTCCTAAAGGACAAAGGAAGAAAGACACAGGCATCACTGGAACCTGAGCCCGACTCATGAACCATCCCATATTCTTCCAGGCTGGGGGACAGACATACCTGTTTACCAAATCCTGTAACTTCTGCATGGGCTCAGGCTCTCCATCTCTCCCACAGGTTAAGATTTCCCTGCCATCATAAACCCTGATGATTCGGTCTGCTGTGTTAATTAAAAAGCAACTACAAAAAAGAATACAGGTATCAACAGCAGAGCTCATAAATATTTTTATTTTCTGTTAAACATTTTCTGTTAAAATTCCTGTCAACATTTTCTGTTATTACCACTTACTTAGAACTGTCTCATAAAATAAGGAATATGTCTGGGAGAGATTAAAGTTCTAAGTAACGTACTGGACACACGTGTGTCTATTTGTCACCTTCTAAACCAAAATATAATTTGAAGTGAAATTATGTTCTTATATAGACTCTGGAACTCTATATGCACAAACTAATAATCATTAGCTTCTGAGCATCTAACTGAGATCCATGCCCTCTGAACCGAAATTCACATGCCAAATTCACAAGCTCAGCTGTAGAGAAATACTGCAATTTTCTGACCTGTTCTCTACACAATAAGAAATTAGTTGTTAATGAACTCATGAGTTGATAAACAGAATGCTACTTTAATATCCAAATTTTAGGGTCAAGGATGTGGCTCAAGAGTTTTGTAAAGCACATGTCTTACAGATGGAGGCCCTGGGATTCCCTCCACTGCCGCCTCCCCTGGTCCCGCCAAAAAAAAAAAAAAGGCAAAACCAAGAAGATCCAGAGGCTTGCAATAATTATTTCAAAGAAAATTTTTTAAAAAGCAGTTAAGACAATATGCACAAAAACTGCAAATCTCAATGCATTTTTGCATTCTATAAACTCCTAAAAATGCTCTAGAAAGGTCTTACTCACCTCCCCTTCCGGGCAAACTCTATTGACTTAATGGCCGTGGTATTGCTCGTTCCAGTTGTTACTCTGAAGGAAGCAACAAGATCCTGAGAATCTGTTTTTAGGACCAAAATCTAAAGTTTAAAGGAGGAGAAAAATGTAAGCATGCTGATAACTTACAGTAATTAGATTTGGCTTCTGTTTCTAAATCTGGGCAAAAACATAAAAATCTCTGTCCCATGTATTCAACATGGTACTGACTTTTCCCTGAAGACAGCAGAGGCGAGTGTCTTACTCAGTTCTTCAAATACAGTGTTTCGGGCTGGAGAGCGAGCTCTCAGCGAGGGCTATGTATGCTCTGCATGTATGAGGCCCAGACTTCATCCCTGGTAGTAGTGGTCTCCCAACCACTACTGGGAGTAAAACCCAAGCAGAGCCAGTATTAATGGGTGTGGCTCAGAAGCCAAATAAAATGTTTTAGTGTTACAGCAGTCACAAAGTGGAAGGGACTAAGTATCTCTCACCAGGTGGCTAAACAAAGTGTGATGTACAACAGAAAGAGGGAAATGCTGACAGGTACCAGAGCAAAGAGGAACCTGGAGGACACTATACTAACAATACCAATAATGAAAGTCACAAAACAGTCAATGCTTTCGGAGTCTACTTATACGCAGTATTACAGTAGCCAAATACTTGCAGAGAAAGTGAGATGACAGGTGCCAGGGGACAAGAAAGCTGGTGTCTGCCAGGGGTGCAGACGTAGCAACGGGAGGAAGGAGCTCTGGAGACAGCCAGTGGGGCTGGGGCTCGATGATATGCTGCACTTCAGGGCCTGACGATGTCTACTTAGGAAGGCTAAAATGGGGCATAATTTTTTGAAGGGATTTGTGGAGGATACTCAGGAGGCCTCAAAACCACTTCTGGCCAGAGTCTGCGACTGTGCAGGGTGGACAAGAGCACTGTTCAGGCCCTTCAACAACCGGCAATGCTGCACGCACTCCTGCCTGCTAAGCTACTTCTCTAACCCTTATGATTTTCCTTTAGAGCCACTCTCTAAAATAGTCATGCTGAGAGAGAGAGAGAGAGAGAGAGAGAGAGAGAGAGAGAGAGAGAAGTTTCTGCCATAGAGGCAGGCTAAGGGATGGGGTGATGGGAGGGAAACCGGGGACACTGGTGCTGGGAAATAAACGTACGCTGGTGGAGGGATGGGTGTTGGAATACTGTATGACTGAAACTTAATCATGAATAGCTTTGTAAGGGTCTACCTCACAATGATTCAAACCAGAAAAAAGCCAAGGTGCTCTAATAGAACTTAAAAAACACCTAAAAGTTTGCTGGAGTGGCAGTACAGCAAGGAGATCACTTGACTTAGCCAACCAGGATTAGAACCCCAACACCTGATCCCCGAGTCCCTGAGCACAGAGCCAGGAGTAAGTGCTGAGCACAGTGGGGCGTAGCCAAAAACAAAACAAAACAAAAAAAAGCAAGAAGAAAAGTGCACCTACCCTGACCTCTGACTCGACAGAACCTCTGAATAAGTCAGGTTGAACTGGCTCATATGTACTGGCCAAGTTATAGGGTATTTTCATGGAGTATTCCATTTGATAAGATGATCCTAAAGTTTATGAGTCAGTAAAGACTGCACTCTACTACCATGCAATAAAAGTCCATCCATTCTGTTCTAAGTCAGACAGTCTCTGACGTCTCTAAATCTACTGTACAGACACCATTACTGAGGCAAGAGAAAGAGCTAGGCTGTACCTGCCACAGGCAGGATGCGAGTTCAGTCTAGAGGCAACAGAAACTTTCAAGGAGGAAGAGTAAGCAAACGAGCCAATGCCTGGGAACCCAGCTGCCAACTTCACCCACTCTGCCACACCTCAGCTTACCTTGCCTTTTGCATTGCCCGTATAGATATATTCCCCTCGCCTATCAAAAGACGCAACCACATTCAAGTCGGAGTCATCGTCCACAGGCAGAACGACATGTCTGGAATCTGAAAGGGTCAACATGACAGGAGCAGATTTCATGGGACACACCAGGACCTTGTTCCTGTTTGAAGATAGGAATAGGACACTGGCTATTGCTTTGGTATCAAATGCCCCTGGCCCCAATTCCAGGCCACCACCCTCACCAATACACTCCAGTCCAGGGACCTGTGAACTTAGAACAGTGAAAACCCCAAATCTAAATGTCAGTAAAAGGGAGATGACTAAGGAAACCGACAGACAAAAATCTAACAATATTTTTAAATGATGATGTAGTAAACCAATAAAATGTAACATAACATGAAAAAGCAAAATATTGGGACTGGAGAGCTATCTAGCACAGTGGATAAGGAGGCGCTTGCCTTACTGACCCCGAAACAGACCTGGGGTCGATCCCCAGCACCATATATGTTCTCCTGAGCGCTACCAGAAGTGACTTGTAAGCACAGAGCCAGGAGTAAACCCTGGAGTATTGCTCAAAAACAAAACGAAAGTGAAATACCAATACTACATAAAAAGTACATACTATGTATTTCTAATTTGGAAAAGGGCATTATGAGCTATGAAACACTTTAAATAATAAGCTCAGAGAATTTAAAGAGAACCCAGAGACATGAAAAGATAAATCTTGGCAATAGAAGTGTAGGTAGCTCTTTTTCCTAAATATCTTTTGCCAACATTTTGTATATATTTTTAAAATCATTGCTTGTTTGGGAGAACACATTCAGTAGTGCTCAGGGCTTATTCCTGGCTCTCACCTCAAGAATCATTCCTAGGGGCCGGAGTGATAGTATAGCGGGGAGAGCATTTGCCTTGCACGTGGCCAATCTAGGTTCAATCCCTGGCATCCCATATGGGACCCCGAGAAACACCAGAAGTAATCCTGAGTGCAGAGCCAGGAGTAACCCCTGAGCATCGCTGGGTATGACCCAAAAAGAGAGGAAAAAAAAAAGAATCACTTCTACTGGGGTTGAGGGTCCATAAGGGGTGCCAGGGATTGGACTGGGGCTGGCCGCATGCAAGGTAAATGCCCTACCCATTGTACTCTCACTTTGGCACCTCTCAAGTAAATGTGAATAGTGAGCGGTTTACCCCAACTAAAGAAAACTGAAAATGGTAGTGAAAGCTGGAACGCATGCTTTACATTCTGCCTGGTCCCTGAGTACTGCTGCGTGTGGGCCCCAAACAAAAAAGAGAAATCCAAACTAATCTAGTGGTGCCACGGGCTTACTCCTAGCTCTGTGCTCAGGGATCACTCCCAGGATCTGATCAGAGAACCATATGATGAGGAGTCAAACCAGGGCTAGCCACATGAGAGGCAAATACCTTAGCCTCTACACTGTCCCTGGGTACTCTCTTAAAAGGGATTCAGGCATGGGCAGAGCACTATCTTAAGGGGCTTAGCTTCAGTTCAATCTCTGGCACTGCTAGAGTGATTCCCCTAAAAACAAAGCAGAGAACAGCAACCCCACCCCAGCACAGCCCACCCATCACCACTGGGTGTCCCCACCATCACCCTGCCAAAAAAAAAAAAAAAAACCCGCCATTCAGTACATACACCCTTGATAGAAAGATTGTATATTAAAGATGTGTCCTTTAGCTTCCTCAAGTTTACACTGAGGCTTGGGAGACAAGATAACTGCATGAAATGACACCCCACCTCTAAGGAATAGCTCAAATTAAACTTACTGGTCTCGTGGATGATACTGGACTTTTAGGATGGGTGAAGGGAAGCGGAACCTCTGGTCACAGTCTCCTGAGAGGACATCCCACTGCGACACTATGTTGTCCGTGGAGGCGCTCACGAGCTTGTGGCCATCTCGGCTCCAGCTGCGGAGTAAAGGCAACATGGTCAAGGGGGCCAGACTCAGGAGCCATAAGCGCACCTCTCTGTTCAAGCACACCTAAACACTTCTTTTTAATGAAGAGCCCACCCTGGTTGTGTGCGTCAGTAACAGTGCCTTTTCGTAAATTCACACTCTCACAACAAGCAGTCCAAGGATTAAGACTATTTCCACAGTGTTTCTGTAACTAGTAAACTGAAGCTTTTAAGTTGAAAATAACACTGCAAGTGGGTTTTGTGAAAAACCCAAGAAGCCTAGACATTTCAGGGTGTCCTTACATGCTGATTTTTACAAAAAACGGGGTTTTGTTTTGTTCTGTTTTTCCTTGAGGGCAGAAGCTGGTCCAGAAATGTGGCATCACTGTCGGTGGGATAGAATCCTTATAAAAGTAGCAGCTTCACCAAAGCGAGAAAAGAAAGCATCTGCTGAAATGAAGACAGGATTTAATTTCTCCTGCTGAAGACAGCTAAACACACTGTTCATCAAATACAAAACAGAAGCAATGTGGACAGGAGAAACCACCCTGGCCCAGGGCGTGGTCCCATGGACGCAGCCCCTAGAGGTCCTGGGCTTTTTGCTTTTTGCCCTGATAGTGCAGACAGGGACTGCCCAATAAGGCCTTTGGCACAACACAGTGGTCCTTGAGTCTGTGTTTTCCTGCTGAGGACCAGGAAAAGGCAGTCCAAGAGACAAACACTACCCCAGCAGCCCCCCAGAAAAAACCCACAAGTCCATCTCCATGCCAGTCAACAAGACGGGAAGGAGGGTGAGGGTCCCACGCCTGCCCAGGCATGGTAAGGTCACCACCCGCCGTGGGGTAGCTGGGTCTGAGAAGGCACGGGGAGAACCCAAACTTCAGAGCCCCCTGTGGTAAGGAAGTGATATTAGAGGCTCTCTGGGGAGCAAGACAGGCACTTGGCACTTCTCAGTTAGAGCAGTACTAGCCTTGCGTAGAGAGTGGAGCCACCGAGACCCCGCCTCTGGGCACGACAAAGCGCAGTGGACGCCTGAATTTCCAGTCCACCTGGCAATAACTAGAAGATATCCATCCCTAGCTCCTGGCCAGAGGAAGCCAGCTGAAAAAGTATATAAGCTCTCAGAACATATCTCCCCAAGTGTCCAGCTTTTACTAAAAGCCACTTCTCAGCCCAGAAACTAAGGAAATTTGGTTTGACTGAGGAAAGATAATCAACAGATAACAAGACAGACATGACAAAGATGTTCAAATGATCCAACAAGGATTTTAAAGCAAAAATAAAAGTGTTTCAAAGAACAGTAACAAAACATGTCTGAAATGAAAAACAAAAACACAGTCTCAACTAAAAAACAAGGGGGAAAAAAGCTAATTTTAAAACTGAGAAATCTGGGGTGGAGAAATAGCATGGCAGATAGGGCATTTGCCTTGCATGCAGCCCAACTGGATTTAATCCCTCGCATCCCACATGGTCCCCTGAGCCTGCCAGGAGGGATCCCTGGGCACAGAGCCAGGAGAAAGCACTGAGCACTGCCAGGTTTGGGGTATAGCCCAATAAAGCAAAAATGAAAACAAAAACACCTGAGAAATTGTAACTAAAAGATGAAACTCAAAAGTGCATACTGCAGCCAATGGAAAATAAAGAGGACAAATCAGTGAACCAGAAATCAGAAAAGGAACTGTTCAATGTGGAATGGCTACAAGAAAATAAAGCAGAAAAAAGGCACAGAGCTTAGGGGCCTGGAGGATTCTATAAAGCAAAAACATGCCAACAAAATCCTGGAAGTCAGGGCCAGAGTAATAGTGCAGCAGGTAAGGTATTTACCTTGCACGCAGTTGACCCGGGTTCAATCCCTGGCATCCCATATGGTCCATCAAGCACCGCCAGGAGTAATTCCTGAGCATAGAGCCAGGAGAAACCCCTGAGCATTGCTGGATGTGTCCCAAAGAGGGGGTGGGGGGGAAATCCTGGAAGTTGGGGGAGGTTTCTTTAAAGCAGATGAAATAATGGCTGCAATTTCCCATATCTGGCAAAAGACGAAAACATTACAGAATCAAGAAGCTCAAAGACCCTCAAACAAGTTAAAAAAAAAAAAATTCCTCCTGAAAACCAAAAAATTTCTTGAAAGCAGAGAACATCTCTGGTACAAGGAACAGCAATCTGAATGGCTGCAAATCTGTATCAGAAACCATGGGGATCAAAAGGAAGTGATGTATTTTTCAAGAGCTGAAAGAACTGTCAAATCGCTATCCAGAGACAAGCCTTCAGGAACATGAATAAACGAAGACACTTGTCACCAGCAGACCTACCCGAAAAGAATGGCTAAGTTCTCTATATGGAAAGGAAATGGTAAAAGGAAACTTAAAGTGGACTAGAGTAACAGTACAGCTGGTAGGGCATCTGCCTTGCACAGGGCCATCCCAGGTTCAAACCCCAGATTCACATATGGCCCCCTCAAGCCCTGCCAGGAGCAATTCCTGAGCGCAGAGCCAGGAGTAAGCGCCCAGTACCACCAGGTGAAGGACACCACACACAGAGAGAAGAAAACGTAAGAACAAACAGGGAAAAAAAAAATCATAATCACTACTTATCCAAATTTCACATGAAGACAAGTTGCTTTTGAGGAACTGAACAGCCAACACAGCACTGTGATCAAGGACATTAGCTCTAGGGACTGGGGACAGGCTCAAGGGCTAGAATGCAAGCTGTGCAGAAACTCAGTGTTCCCTCCCTGGCACTACAGGGCCCCGTGACCACCGGGAGAACGCCCCTCCAAAAACAGGACATTAGTTCAAGGGTCAGACTCATGCTCAAGCTGATGTTATGCCTTCAAGTGGTGTGATCTCAGGCAGGCTGTTTAATTTCTTTTCAGTTTCCTCATCTATAGCATGAGAGTCCTGTCATCTGCCTGCAGAAAGCTGGTGAGCAAATCAAAATACATTTAACAGCCACTCAGAAGCAAGAGAATGGGCACAAAGGGCTGAGCACCTGCTGTGTGTGCCAGAGATCTGGGTTCAGCGGCTGAGCAATACTGGGTGAGGCTCCCAACCCCTCACCAAATAAAATAATAAACACAACCTGGCTAATACCGGGCATTGAAAGGGTACTGAAGAAACAGCAATCATATCCCACAAATGAGTGCAATCATTCTATGTCTGTCCCTCTCCTTCTGGCTCACTTCACTCAACATGATACTCTCCACGTCCATCCACTTGTAAGCGAATTTCATGACTTCATTTTCCCTGTGACTGCATAGTATTCCACTGTGTAGATGTACCATAGTTTCTTTAGCCAGTCACCTGTTCTCGGGCACTTGGACTGTTTCTAGATTCTGCTACTGTGCATAGTGCTGCAATGAACACAGAAGAGCAGCTGGCATTTCTGCCGCGTTTTTGGGCTACTGGGGTATATTCTCAGAAGTGGTATTGCTGGGTCATACGGAAGCTTAATTTCTAATTTTTTGAAGAAAGTCCACATTGTTTTCCAAAAAGGCTGGACCAGTCATTATTCCCACCAACAATGAAGGAGAGTCCCTTTCTCCCTGCATCTGCGCAGCACTGCTTGCGCTTGTTCTTTTGGATGTGTGCCAGTCTCTGTGGTGTGAGATCTCTCACTGCTATTCTGATTTGCATCTTCCTGATGATTAGTGATCTAGAGCATTTTTTTTCATGTGTCTTTGTGGTAATTTCTTCTTTGAGGTAGCTTCTGTTCATTTCTACTCCCCATTTTTTTGATGGGGTTGGATGTTTTGGTTTTTTTCTTTTTTGGCAAAGTTCTACCAAAGTCTTATATATCTTTGATATTAACCTCTTGTCAGAGGGGTATTGAGTAAATAGTTTTTCCCATTCTGTGGGCTTTCCTTGTATCGTGGTTGCTGTTTCTTCTGAGGTGCAGAAACTTAGTTTAATGTAGTCCCATTTATCTTTGCTTCCACTTGCTTGGTCAGTGGTGTTTTATCTTTGAAAATGCCTTTAGCTTCAATGTCATAGAAGATTCCACCCACACTGTCCTCCATATACCTTACAGTATAAGATTAATACCTAAGGACAGTAGAAACAAGGGCCAGGAGGACTCGTGCAGGGTTGGAGGCTTGTAAGTATGTGTGTTGGGGGGGGGGGGGGGGGGGGTTGGGGGTTGGGGTTGGAGGGAGGGAGAGGGCAGCTAGGGTTGAGAAGGGAACACTATTACAAAGATAGTTGAAAATAATCACTGAACAAGAAATGAGTACAGAAAGTAGGTAAAAAGAAAAACATGATAACCTTTCAATACTTGTATTGCAAGAGAGAGAAAGGGAGGGAGGGAGGGAGGGAGGGAGGGAGGGAGGGAGGGAGGGAGGGAGGGAGGGAGGGAGGGAGGGAGGGAAGAGAAAGAGAGAAAGTGCCTGCCATAGAGGCAGGCTGGGCAAAGGAGGCAGGCGAGAAACTGGGGACAGCGGGGAACGTACACTGGTGAAAGAATGGGTGCAGGAACATTGTATGACTGAAACCCAATCATGAACAACTTTGTAACTGTATATCTCACAGTGATTAAATTTAAAAAAAAAAAAAAAGAAAAGAAATCGGTTATTTTTATCAGTGACAAGGTAAATGTGTTCCCAGTCTCCAGTTTTCTAGGACAAAGGACAGCAGGGACAGACCAGGAAAGGTATATAAAGTGACTAATAAGTTCATCAAAAAGACTGACACTTCCTCTCCCACTAGCTCCAGAGCACTGGCAGCCAAGACAACCCAGCGGAAAAACAAAGAGAACGTGAAAAAGGCTGGCCGTAGGCAGTCACTTGAAGGCTCACAGGGAAAAGACCAGCAGTCCCCTGAGCAGACTCATCACACTGCATTCAGAGAGACACGTATTTCAGAAAGTAACAAACCACGGAGAAGTCTCTTCTCGCTCTGAGAGGAGGGCGAGTATTAGAGGATGATACTGCACACTTCACACTGCAGGGGGAAGACACTGCGGCGGGCGAGGCTGGGAATCTACACAGCTTTCAACATGTCAGAAGGAAGCAAACCACCCCTGGGAGAAAAGAGGTTCTTCACCTCATACTTTGTTTTTTTTTGGGGGGGAGGGACCACACCCCAATGCCCTGAGCTCAGGGACCACTCCTGGGGCAGCATGCAAGACCAGCATCCTCACTGTTGTACTATCGTTCCAGCATTCCACCCCTGATTTAAATGAAGCCACTGTTCCCCCAAAATAAAATTTTCAAAAACAAAGCTAAGTCTCAGAGAATAATACTGGAGGAATTGAGACTATATCAGATATCAGCTCCCTGTACCGGATAAGGGCCCAGGGAGACAGCTGACGGAAGTATATGCTTTGCTTTGCATGCGGGAATCCCAGGCTCAATCCCAGGCACCCCATGGGTCCCAGAGTACTGCTACGAGTGACCCCCTAATCCTTGGCAGAAAGTGTTTTTGACACTGCTCCTGATGTCAAAAAAGGGGGGGGGGGGGAGTAAAAATGATATATTTCACTGAAAGCTAAAAGGCAGCAAGTTACTATGTACTGAAAAAATATCATCTCTATGATCCCAAATCCAAATAATGGTAATGGTAAAAGTCATAATAAATATAATAAAAAGATGTGCTGTGATGGGTGAAATTGCTGGATTTTGAGAACCTGTCAAAGCTGGACTGCCAGCTTCCAAGCATCCCTCCTAACCAAGGTGCTGCATTTGAAACTAAAGGTCATCATTATAAATATACTATACGTACATTCTGTAAATATCTCATTTCTGTACTAAAATATTCTCAAAGCCTGATGGATATCATATCATCACATTAAAATTTCCCCACAAAGGTAGTTCAAAGACATCAGGGTTCAAAGTCTATATGGATTCTGAGAAACTGTATTACTACCAGCTAAATACTTGAGACTCGATTAAATAACCACAGTGAGGCTGGAACAAGAGTACAGAGGATATGACAGTTCCCTTGTACACGACCAACCCAACTTTGATCCCTGGCACCCCATATGGTCCCTTAAGCCTGCCAAGAGTGATTCCTAACTGCAGAACCAGGAGTAAAACCTGAGCACAGCCAAGTGTGGCCCCAAAACAATAAATAAACAGGGGCTAGAGCAATAGCACAGCAGGTAGGGCGTTTGCCTTGCAGGCGGCTGACCGGGTTCTATTCCCAGCATCCCATATGGTCCCCCGAGCACCACCAGGAGTAATCCCTGAGTGCAGAGCCACTGCTGAGTGCAGAGTGCAGAGGAACCCCTGTGCATCGCCGGGTTTGACCCAAAAAGCAAAAAAAAGCAAAAAAAAAAAAAAACCCAATAAACAAATATTCACAGTGAAATAATGATCAGTCACCATTAATCCTTCCAATTTAACTCTTATCTAGCATATTAATATTAAAAATTTCTGGGGCTGACCCAGGTTCAATCCCCAGAATCCCAGACAGGTCCCGAGCACCGCCAGGAGTGATTTCTGACTGTTAACCCCTGAATATCACCAGGTGTGGCCCAAGAATAAAAAAAAAAATAATTAAAAATTCCTTACCACAGGGAACAGACTGGATGGATGTGTGCACTGATTATTTTAGCAATGCCTCTTGTCAAGAAATCCCAGATGACAATTCGACCGTCATTGCAGCCAACTGCAAGCAGCGTGCCCCACCTGTTAAAGGTGCAGGTGAGGGCCATGCTGATACAATCCAAGGTCCCATCAGCTTCCTGAAAGTCAACATGGACACAATGACAAACAAAGTAATACCCAGACATCCAAATCATTTCTTAAAGATCTCTAATATCATACTCCTATTGACTTTAAATTAAAATTTACACTAAAATAATCTATCTCTTCTTATGGTTAGCAAAAATGAGAAAATGTTTATAAGAGGTAAGAGAGAATTTTTGGAAACAGTTACCAGCAGCCTCTTACATTACTACTGTAACTTTGCACAAACACTGTGGAAGCAATCATGCAACATATTAACCAAGACTCAGCGTTGTCTGAGGGCCAGAGACAGTACAGCAGGTAAGGCAGGAGCCATCCACACCACCGACCCATGGTCAATATGGCCAGTGGTTTGGCACATATGGTTCCCCAGAATTGGTCCCAGAGTCGAGGGGACATTCAGGGCCCAGAGATGGCTCAATGGGGGAGATGCCCCTTTAAGTGAAGGAGATCTGGGCTCAATCCCCAGTTCCATATGGTCCCCAAACTGCTGGGAATTAATCCGCAACACTGAGTTTGGAAGAGCCTCTGAGATCTACCAGGGGGTGGCCCCAAACCAAAAACAAACCCCACACTTGTGAAAAAGGAGTACCATTAAACGCCTCTTTCCTGGGGCCAGAGCCATAGTACAGAGGGCAGGGCCTTGCACGCACCCAATCCGGGTTTGATCCCTGCATCCCATATGGTCCCCTGAGCACCTCTAGGAGTGATTCCTGAGTGCAGAGCCAAGGGAAACCCCTGAGCACTGCTGGGTGTGGCCAAAAACCTAAAATAAAAAATTTTTTAAACCAAAATAAAAACTCTCTCACCCCAAAATTAAACATTTAGTAGCTTATGCAAAAGATACATAATAAGATGTATAAAAAGTGTTTTTGACACTGCTGCTGTTGTCAAAAAAAAAAGGGGGGGGGTAAAAATGATACATTTCAAAGGCAGCAAGTTACTATGTACTGAAAAAAAAAATCATAAAAATTAATGTTCTTACCTCTGGATAATTCTGCCCAAAGGACTCTGCAACAAAACAGAGAAAGAGTTGAAGGACCAAGTGCATAGGCAGCCGAGCTTGAGGCATTCTCCACCCCCCCCCACCCCCCCCCACCCCCCACCCCCCCCCACCCCCCCCCCCCACCCCCCGGGACAGAGCTGCCCTCAGGCTCCTGCCCAGGGCAGACATGCCAGTGGGGCAAGAGCACCTAAACGGGATCTGTGAAAAGCCAAACAACAAGGAGCCAGAGAGGCAATGTGCCGGAGCCTGGCACGAGGCCAAATTTGGGGCAACCACGACTTGATTCCCAGCACCTAAGTTCCCCTGAGCAAGGGGCGTGACTCCTGCGAACATTGCCCCAACCCAGAAAAACTGCAGCAAAGCCCTTTTTCTTAGAACAGAAAATTGTTTGACAAAGCAGTTACTTTTCAGGAACGGTACAGCCGGAGAAACCTTACGGGGCAGTCAAGGCATGCACTCTTGACCAGCACTACCAGCCTCAGCGGGAACACAGCCCTCGGGAGAAAACACACCCTCCTTCTAGCCCAGCACCCCAGAGCGCCTCCTGCAGCAGATAGCTCTGCCCGCCGCCCCGCTGCCTGAACCACAAACTCAAGAAAGTGGCTTTGCAGATTTGGCATCCAATAAACCTCTACTCTGGTTTCTGTTTATTTGCCTCACCCAGTCTTGCTCCGGGCACCATATTAGTCGGCCTCCACCCCTTATGTTTGGCGCAGAGTCTTTAAAAGAAGGTTTAATAAATTCATTTCAGTCTGAAAATCAGTTTCATCATTTTTTCTTTATTAAAATTAATGGAGAGGGGCCAGAGAGATAGGGTGGGCAAGGTGCTTGCCTTGCATGCAGCCAACCTGGCTTCCATCCCCAGCACCACAGTGGTCCCCAAGACCACAGGAGTGATCCCCAAGTGCAGAGCCAGAAGTCCTGAGCACCACCAGGGGTAGCCCAACCTCGCCCCCAATTAATAGAAAACTACAGTAAAATTTTAAAACACAGGAAAACTTAGGTCCAACAGCTAACAAAGAATATAAAAATGAAGGAAGTATAGTTATTTTAATACAGAAACTGTTCTGAGGCCACAGCCAGCACTGCTGCCCTGGCAGCTCTCAGGAGAGCCTGCGGTGCTGGCAAAGAATCTGGGTCTCCTGCATATAAGGTCTAGCTCAGTCTTTCTAGCACTCCTGCCCCGAAACACCTGACACGAGACCGGAGATATTACAGGGGTGGGTGAAGGCACGTGCCTTGCACACAGGTGAGCCTGGATTGATATCTGGCTCTGCACGCTCCCCGAGAGCACCAACAGCAGTGACCACTGGGCAGAGCCAGGAGTAGCCACTGAGCACTGCTGGGTGCAGTCTACCCACCTCCCCTCCCTAAATCAGAACATTCTAAAAGAAAACTCTATCAAAGACTTAGAAAGTACTTGCAACAGATGGCTGAGGAGTTATTACCTGTATTATATAGAAATGTATATACTGAAACAACGAAGAACATGAATGATCAAGTCAAAAACATAGGTGGCCACTAAGCAAAAGACCGATTAAACTAAGGCACGGTCAAAGAACTGGACATAAAATTTAAAAATGTCATTTCACCCCTCAGGGAAATAGAGAGTGTAGCTGGGCCACTTCTGGCAGTTAGGGCTTACTCCTGGGCTCCGTGCTCAGGGATCACTTCTGGCAAGCCATATGAGACATGGGAATCGAACCCGGGTCTGCTGTGTGCAAGGAAAGTACCCTACAAGCTATCTGTTGCTCTGGCACCAGATTTGTTTTCTCAATTTATTAGTAAGCTGTGGTGAGTGATACAGTATTTGTGCAAGCTCAGAATATTTTTTTCTTTTTTTGGTGGGGATCCTTTCAAGCAATGCTCAGGGATCCGAGGGCCATTCCCAGTAATACCTGACCAACCCTGTAAAGGCTGAGTGTAGACTTGGGAGGCCCCCAAGTATGGCTGGAAGCTTGCCATGTGGGGCAGCGCCAGGAGACCTCAAGTCTACACTAAAGAGGGACACCAGTGCCAGGATTAAACCGAAGTCTCTGAGTACGCAAGCATGAACTCCAGCCCTCTGAGCCAACTCCCCTGCCCAACAAGTTATTTTAATAGACTACACTAAAAAAACTGAAGGCATCAGTGGACAATGAGCATTTAAAAAGATATAACATACAATTCTGAGAAATTTATAAGTAATGTTTGATGACAGAAAATATCTTACTATGAGTTGTGGTAAAAGTTTGAGTGCCATGGGGCTGGAGCGATAGCACAACGGGTAGGGTGTTTGCCTTGCACGCAGCTGACCCAGGTTCAATTCCCAGCATCCCATATGGTCCCCTGAGCACCGCCAGGAGTAATTCCTGAGTGCATGAGCCAGGAATAACCCCTGTGCATCGCCGGGTGTAACCCAAAAAGCAAAAAAAAAAAAAAAAAAACAAGTGCGTGCCAGAGAAATAATATAATAGGTATGGTGCTGGCCTTGCATGCAGCTGGCCCAAGTTCAATCCCCATTACTACATACAATCCTCCAAGCCCTCCAGGAGTAAGCCCTGGGCACTACTGGGTATGGTCCAAAATCCAAACTAAGGAAGTTTGAGAGTGGGAGAGCACATGCTTCCCATGCAAGAGGATCATATGCGATGCCAGTGATCAAAACCAGGTGAACCACGTGCAAGGCAAGCATCCTACCCACTGTACTATGGCTCTTGCCCCTGAAATTGTTTTTACAGGGAAGTGATGATATAGAGGGCAGTGTACCTGGCACTGCTCAGGAGTGACCCCTGGTGGTGCCAGGAAAAGAAATGGGTCCAGAGGCATGCAAAGCAAATGCCTCCCCTCCCCAAATATCCCTCTACCCTCCACCCCTTCCAATTCTTAATAACTCTGTAGTTCCTGGGGTCTGAAGCGATAGCACAGCGGGTAGGGCATTTGCCTTGCACTCGGCTGACCCGGGTTCGATCCCCAGCATCCCATATGATTCCCCAAGCACCAAATAATTCCTGAGTGCATGGCCAGGAGTAACCCCTGTGCATCACCGGGTGTGACCCAAAAAAAAGCAAAAAAAAAAAAAACAAAAAAAAAAACTCTGTAGTTCCTGTGCTTGCTGCCAACACAGCAAAGGCTAATGAAATGGTTTACTAGTATGCGACAGGTGAGAAACCCAGTTGGGTGTTTGAGCACAATACTAGAAACTGCAACAACAAAGGAAAGGGAACAAAGGTGGTTGCAGAAGTAAAATTGGCATTTTGATTGTCCACAATAAGAGCACAAGAACACATCACCAGGACCAGAGAGACAGCACAGTGGGTAGGGGGCTTGCATGCAAATGACCTGGTTTGATCACCCCATAAGGTGTCGGAGCCCACCTAGAGTGATCTCTGAGCAGAGAGTGAGCAGTAAGCTCTGAGCACTGCCAAGTGTAGGCCTTGTCACTCCAAAAGAAAAAAAAAACCACATTATCAATCCTTGCTTTCATCTGGAAAATACCACTAAGTATCTTCCACAAACACATCACTTTTGCTCTTCTACTTGTTATTTTGAACACGGCCTTTCTTCTAAATCTCAAGAGTCCCTTCCATAGAGACATATCTTTTGGACCCAGTTTTTTTCTTTTTTTTTTTCCAAAATGCCCACCCTGCCAATGCTAAAGATTCTTTCCAAGTGTCACCTCTGTGAATGTCCTATACAGTTAAAAGAAACAACCCTGTCCTATGACTCTACCTCTCTTCCTTGACACAAAGACCATCTGCACTCAGTTTCTTGTGGGTTTTTTGTTTGTTTGTTTTGGGGTCATACCCAGCAGTGTTCAGTCTATACTCTGGTCTCTGCTCGGGGATTGCTACTGGCAGGGTTGGAGGGACCATAAATGGTACAGGGACTGATTCCCGGGTGGCAGCCCGCAAGGGAAGCTCCTTATCCACTGCTCCAACTCTGTTTCTCAATTTTCATCTGCTCAACTTCCTTCATGTCATTTCTTCCCATTTCCTAGCTCAGCTCTCTATTACTCATCTAGTCCTCCAAACTTTTCCTCACCCTCCAAGACTCAACAACACACTGCTGTCCAACAGATTTATAAAAATTCTAATTCTGGTGAGGGGCTAACCAAATAGGAAAAAGAAAAATCACAACTCAAAATGAGCTTCTTACCAGGTCAAACTCCTTACAAAGCACAAACTTCTCAGTGTGGCATTCAAGAGCATCCACAAAATAGATGGCACTACCCCCAACTTCTGGTCTTCTCTTTACTCAGAACCAGGAAAATTCTTTTTGCTTTGTTACCACACTTGGCGAGGTAAATTCTATGTCAAAGATGATTCCCGGCACTGCTCAGGGAAACATATGTGGTATCTGGGATCAAATACGGGTCAGCTGAGAGCAAGACAAATACCTTAACCCCCATACTGTCTTTCCTGCCCCAAAAGGGAAACTTTTTTGGAGGGATGGGAGTGGGAGGGAGGGCAGGGTCACACACACACAGTGATGCTCAGGGGCTATTCCTGGATCTGTACTCAGGAATTACTCCTTGTGGAGGCTGGAGAGATAGTGAAGAAAGTAGGGCGTCTGCCTTGCACATGGTTTGATCGCCATCATCAAATATGGTCCTCCAAGCACCAACAGGGGTAATTCCAAAGTGTAGAGCAAGGAGTAAGCCCTGAGCACTGCCAAGTGTGACCAGAAAACAGAATTTAAAAAAAGGAAAAAAGGAATATTCCTGGCAGTGCTGGAGGGACCGCATGGGATGCCAGGGATCAAACCTGGGTTGGTCGCGTGCAATGCTCACTGTACTATCTCTCCAGTCCAAAAAGGAAAATTCTTTCGACTTTCTCTCCCTGCTGTCTTAGCTCAAACACACAGGTAGTATGCAATGTACTTCATCGGCCAATCTTAAAATTTGTCAATTCAACACCCCGCCCCCTTCACATGGTTTTTGTTTAAGATTACCTTTCTTCCTTAGCACAAAGACACCCATTCACTTCCTGAATGCTCTCAGCATTTGAGGATGATTTTAAAGGCACCTCGGTAAAACAATGTATCATGGCTATCTGCATAATTTCCTTAATTTTCCTGTTTAACAAAATGACCCTTAGAGGTAACTTCAAATAAATTAAACATGTACATAGGTTTGGGGGCCACACCCGGTCATGCTCAGGAGTTACCCCTGGCTTTGAACTCAAGCATCACTCCTGGTGATCTCAGGCGACCAGGCAGGGTGCCAGGATTTCAAGCCCTATATGCAAGACAAGCGGCTGCACTATCTCTCTGGCCCTCCTCCCCCCATTTAGCTATTTTTATCGCTCTCGAGCAAGTCCGCATAACTAACAAACACATTCTTTCCTCGAAGAGACCTTAGAAACCTCAGGCATCCCTAGGTTACCATGCTTTAAATATCGCCTACTGAAAAAAGCCTGCAAGGATTAGTTTTCAATCATCTTGACAGAGAGGAGGGAGCCAATGACTCAAAGAGGGTGACAAAAAGCCTCTATAATAGTCCGCGCTTCAGAGTTTCACACCGCATCCCTGGTTCGTCAAGGACCTTTAAACAGAAACTCATGAAAGCTGGATGGATCCAACTATGTCACGTGCCTTCAAGCCGCTATCCTCTGAGCCTTTTTTTTTTATTACTATTCACTAGTTCAGTCAATGACACTGATCCTGCATCTTCAAGGCATCCCGTGCGTCTAAAAGATTTAACCTATCCAAGCACTGAACCTCCCCCGCCTGTTTCAAGTCTTCCCAGCTTCCCCGCAAGCCTCGGTCCGTCTGATTGCTCTCAGCTCTCAGCAGCACCTATGATGCGCCCAGGAACCCAAACTCAAGTCGCAAACGGTCTGGTCTCCATCCCCCCCCGCAGTGGCTCTGAGCGTGGCCTCGGGGGGAGGGGGGTGGGAAGCAATGCATTCAGCTGGGGAGCGGGTGGGGGGGAGCTGTGCCTGCAGCGGCGGCGGCTGCTCCATCCCAGGAGCACTCAGTGAGCGCCAGCAAGAAGTGTCCGTGAGGTTGCAGCCTGCGTCGCTCCCCCTCCCCACCCCCGCGCTGCCCGCCCGAGTTTCTGCTCCTTTTCCAGGACCCAGGGCGCTCTCGGAGAGGCAGCCATCAGCCCTCCTCACCCAGCAATTCGAGGTTCATCCCTGAGGAATCTGCTCTCCGCGCCTCACCAGCTCCCGCGACGGACACCGGTCCCGCAAGCCGCTTCCAAGACCTGCGTTTAAAGGCGGGGGGGAGGGGGGCGCCGCAAAGAGGCCAGCGCAGGCTCCGGAGAGTTTCTGCTTCCGAGGACCCCGCAGCTTCCGCTTTCTTCCCCCCGCCTGCCTTGTTCGTTTCGAGGAGGCTGTCCAAAGAGATGCCTGAACAGAAAAAGGAAGAAGCAACGCCCTCTGGATATTTTTATTGCGCCATGATTTAAGAGGAAACAATCCTGCTCCGTGATTCATTGATAAAGTGCACGGATTTTAAACGTTTCCCCCACTCCGCATCCCGTAAGTGAGGTATACATTTTAGGCATATCCTCGGACTACTAGGCTTGCACTGTTGTGTGTTCCGCGGCGTGGTCCCGACGGGCTGCCTCGGGAGTGCTGGAAAGGTTCCGGGAAAAGTCCTGGGGTAGAGCTTGTTTGGGGCTGTGCTGGGTGTTCGGCGGTGTATTATTGATCTGTACGGAGAGGACTGACTCTTCCTGGGCTAAGTCTCTACTATTGTAAAGTCGGCGGTTGATATAATAGAAATGTACAGGAGCACGTGTTAGTACTTTCTTGCGCCCCGAATGAATTGGAAGGCGAAGTTAGGCTGAGTGCCCCGAAGCTCCTCCGCACGAAATTGATGAGACATCTCGGAGCAATTGACCGGAGCTGTTGGGAACTAACGAGAGACCAATTCTGAGCAGATAGGTTTCGCCTGTGGATGTTTTGGGGCGACTGGAACAGCGTTTCCGCCCTACAAGGAATTAAAGCTCGAGCCTTTGCTGCCTCTTCCAGCTCGCGCTAGATTGAATGTCAGTAATCCCAATAAATGTAACTCTGAATTTTACTAATTCTACCCCTGCTCTACGATACCTTCTGTGCCTGGGCTATTTCAAGTGGGGATGAGAATCTTGGTTTTATGGAATTGATGTAAAAATTAAGTGAGGTGACCTATATTACAATTTTGGAACTGCCAGCACCAGCAAGTGTTAGCTGTTGTTTACAAATAATTTACTTTCTCCTAAATTAAAATTATCTCACTTGTTTTCTGGCCAGTAAGATTCCCCCACGCTGACCAAATACAGTCATTGAGAATCAGAAATGCTACGCTGTTTCCTTGCATGTCAAGTCCAAAACGTTGCTAAAGGTCTTCCAGGATACAAGTACCACCAACGGTAGTATCTGAGAATTTCTGTTTCACACTCTAATCACTGTTCGTTATCAGTTCTCTCATTGGGCCAGTTGAGTCGGTAGGAAGATGGCACTCTGAACCATTTCTAAAATAATTGAGAAAAAAATTAAACGAGGGAGTCGGAGCAATAGTACAGGGGATAAGGTTCTTGCTTTGCTGTGACCAATACCGTTCTATCCCTTGCACCACATATGGTCCCCGGGACTCAAAGGAGTAAACCCTGAGCACTGCCAGGGTTTCCCAAAAGAAAGAGTGAGAAAGGAAGGGAGGGAAGGAGGGAGGATAATTCAAAGGGTACAGTGCTTGTTTGCAGGTGGCCAAAAAAAAGGCAGTCAAAAATTATATTTGGGGGCTGGAGAGATAGCACAGCGGGTAGGGCGTTTGCCTTGCATGCGGCCCACCCTTGTTCAATGCCCAGCATCCCATATGGTCCCCTGAGCACTGCCAGGAGTAATTCCTGAGTGCAGAGCCAGGAGTAACCCCTGTGCATCGCCAGGTGTGACCCCCCCCAAAAAAAAAGCAAAAAAAATTATATTTGCCTTTTGTGCAGAAGAAATATAGGAAGGACAAATCAGAATTCGGTACCTTCAAAGGGTAAGTTGTAAAGGATGATAGTCGGAGGTGAGTAAATAAGAATGCGGTGGCAGGAATGAGATAGTAATACTCCACGTACATATTTTTATATAGCACTGACTCCTAGAACCATGTTAGTGTTTCACATACCCACCTACCCAGCCCAAAAAACAAACAGAAAAACCCAAACAACTACAATCAGCTAGGATGTGAAGAGAACCTAAATGGAATTGAAATACTAACAAATCGACCTGTTAAAAATCAGTACCATGGGTCAGAGAAATAGCCCAGAGGTTAGTGCTCTTGTTTTGCACATGATTGACCCAGATTCAAATCCCCAGCACCATAAATGTCCCCTGAGCACAGAGTCAGGAGTAAGCTCTAAGCAGAGCCTGGCTTAACAAAACCACCAGGTTTTGTCCCCCAAACAAAAACAAACAACAATAAAAAGACGGAAAGAACTAACACAAATTCTGGAAAACAGCCTTCAATTCCCATAGGCTTTAAAACAAAAAAGAACTGGAGGCAGCTTGTGGGGAGCTCAGTGTTGCTTTGCGGTATGGGGACCCCTAGCACTGTTCTTTGGGGTCAGTGCAAGCCTTCAGCCAAGGATATTTTCGTTATTATCCCTTTTTTTTTCCAGAACTATAGAATATCACTCTTAGGCCAGCACTACTGATTATTACATAAAGCTCTGCTGATGAGTACTAAAACACAGGGACCAGAGTATACAGAGAAATAGGATTCGCCTAGTTCCAAAATACTTTCTGCAAGACTGGAGAAATAGCACCGTTAAGGCATATTCCTTGCATGCGAAAGACCCCTCTTTGATCCCCAAGCAACACCAGGAGTGATCCCTGAACACCACCAGATGTGACCCAAATATATATATATTTCCTGAAATGGAATATATATTTCCATATCCCAAATATATATTTCCTGAAATGGAGTTATTAACTACAAGGAATTAAGAATAGTGACTTTATGGTTTGAAGCCTGGGTGAAAGGACCCAAACCAAGTGATAAGGTCAACATCACCTGCAGTCATGAGTCACAAACTGAAAGGATGCATGCACTGAGGGCACATTTCCCCTCCTGAGAAAACATCAATAAAACTCAGATGGGGGAACACTGGACAAAATAACTATTACTCTTCCAACAAGTCAGTCAAAGTCACAGCTGTCAGAATGGCCTGTATCAGCACGGCCAGAACAAATGCTGGCAGGGTGAAACAAGAAAGAAGCCATCGCTTATAGTTGGTGGAAATGTAAACTAGGTCAGCCTTTACAAGAAAGAGTTTGGAGCTGACTTCAAATGTTAAAAAGAGAAATGCCAGGGCCAGAGTGATAGTGCAGCAGGTGCAGTGGCCTTGCACTCGGCCAACCTGGTTTCAATCCCTGGCATCCCATATGGTCCCCCGAGCCAGCCAGGAGTGATCCCTAAACACAGACCCAGAAATAAGCCCTGAGAAATGCCTGGTGTGCCCACTCCAAGAGAGAAAGAGACAGACAGAGGCAGAGAAAGAGAGAGAGATAGCAGCAGAGAGACAAGAGAGACAGAGACAGATGCTATATGATCCAGAAATTCTAGCCCCAGGTATCTATCAAAATGACACAATAAGTTAATGCACATTACAGCACTGTTTGGCCACAAGATGGAAACAGCCCGTGTTCAATGACAGATGAGTAAATAAAAAAAGTTGTATCCACAGTGGGACACTTCTCAACTAGAAAAGGTAGAGTCTTGTTTTTGCTACGTCATGAATAAAATTGGAAGGGATCATGCTAAGTGGAATTAGTCAGAAGCAGAAAGACAAGCACCAGATGATTTCACTCATAATGGCATACAAAGGAAGAGAGCAAGGGAATAGACAGTGGCCAATGAAAACAAACCCTCTGTCGCAGAACGGAGGTTACCGGGGGTGGGGCGGTCTGAGACGGAGATCAAAAGAGTATGGAGTTCATTGAACAGTGGTAAAGGATGTTGGTATTTGGGTGTATGGTGTGGTAACATATAATTTTGAAGAGTGCAAAATTGTACCCCTGGGGCTGGAGCGATAACACAGCGGGTAGGGCGTTTGCCTTGCACATGGCCAACTCGGGTTCGGTCCCCAGCATCCCACATGGTCCCCTGAGGACCAACAGGAGTAATTCCTGAGTGCAAAGCCAGGAGTAACCCCTGAGCATCGCCAGGTGTGATCAACAAAAATTGTACCCCTAAAACATGTCAGTCTAGTAAACCAATATTAACTCAATTTTGCAACCTTTAGAAAGGAACAGGAAGGTGGATTAAAAGGCTAGAGAGCATATAGGAACCTGGGGTACAGTGCTCCCCACCAGCACTATATGGTCCACAGAGCACTGCCTGGAACAAACTTCAAGCACTGAGCTAGGAGTAGCCCCTCAACACTGTTAGTCTGGTCTCCCTCCAAAAGAAAAGGAAAGAAAGAAAAAATGCCAAACTCATGAAAGACAAGAAAATGCTGAGAAACAGACTCAAGATTTTATTTTTTTAAATTTTTTTATTAGTGAAACACCATGCGGTACAGTTGTAGATTTAGTTTTTTGTGCTTGGGTTTCGGTTATACAATGATCAAATACCCATCCCTCCACCAGTGCCCATTTTCCACCACCATGGATAACATCCCTCCTCCCCATCCCCCCATCCCACCCTGCCTCTGTGGCAGGGCATTCCCTTTTGTTCTCTCTCTCCTTTTGGGTGTTGTGGTCTGCAAAAGAAGCATTGAGTGGCAAACATGTTCAGTCCATAGTCTACTTTCTTTTTTTTTTTTTTTTTTTTTTTTTTTTTTTATTTATTTATTTTTTTATTTATTTAATCACTGTGGGAAAGGTTACAGAGCTTTCAGGTTTATGTTTCAGTAATGCAAATATCAAACACATTTCCCTTTACCAATACTTATTTTTTACCATGAAGAACCCCAATAAAACCCCACCCCCCACCCCTCCCCGTCCCTGTGAGGCAGATGAATTCTAGTTAACACTCTATCTGCTTTGATTAGATTCATTGTTTCAATAAAAGATTCACCACTATTATTTAGAGTTTACCCCCCCCCCCCCCCCAGATCAGACATGCTGAAAAAGCATTGTGAAGTGATTTGCTTTCTACAGCTGGGTTAAAGAATTAAATGTTGGTTTTGGATTTCTGCTATTTTACCTATTGACCCTGGAAGTATTTCTACTGAAAGTCAGATAGTTAAGAAACTGGTTTCTGTGTTCTGG